AAACCTGACTTGGTCCTTGATAGAGCAACTTGTTGAAACGTCGTTAATCACCAGGTTTAAACATCTCTGGAGGGATTTTGGTCTAACATTTTCAATCTTCTGAGTTTGGTTTAGAGACTGGTTCTTCTTCTTTTGCTGCTCTTTTGTGTTCTTGATTAGTTTTATAGGTTGGTTTGCTGCTCCCTCAGACTTGAATCAACTGCAGAAAGACTCGAAGCTGAAGGAGTTGGCCTCTTAATGTTTTAAGGCCACTCTTTGACAGTTTGTAAATGAGGTATTTGTATAAATTTTTACTGATATTGTATTCTATTTTAGTCCTATTTTACTTTTAATGAGTGTCTATTTTATTTTATTAATTTAATTTAATTTAATTTAATTTGCCATGATGTGTTAAATTGTGCTTTTGATATAGGCAGTTTTAAGATTTGATAATGTCTATGTGCTGCTGCCATTCTTGGCCAGGTCTCTTTTGAAAAGGAGTTTATTTATTTTTTTATCTCAATGAGATGTACAGTACCTGGTAAAATAAAGCTTTCTGTGTGAGCCACAAATCTGGCCAAGTTGTAAGAGATCAAATACTTATTTTTTCCCATTTATCAGTTACTTCCTGCTGCTGCCTGTAAAGAAAATTGTTCTTTCAGATAAGAGAATGAAGCTTTAGCTCTGAAGCACTCCAGCAGAACTTTATTAGAACCTTTGTAGAACCTTAATCCTCAGTAGAACTCCATGAGAACACGGTCAGGAAATGTACCTGATTGGCTGATTACCCAGCTGTGTGTCTGATGTTGCCCACCTGTGCACTTCAGGGGGATGAGCTTATGACAAGCCTAACTGGATGCCCTCAGCCAATCAGACAGAAGAGCTTCACAGTGGGGTGGAGCTATGACACAACTTCTGGTAGAGTTGTCTCACTGAGGACCGATGACGGTGTTACTGAGACGGCTGTGGCAGCTATGAACAGTGTCACGATGACTACAGCAAGCCTTAAGGTGGGTCAGCAGATAAGAGTTATCCCACCATCTGCCCCCGATGATGTCATCACTGAAAGACCACTGYTCACCATATGTGAAGTGAAGACTCCAACCTCTCCACACGAGCCAATCAGAACACCTGGAATCAGCCAAAGTGGAACCAAGCGTTTGGCCCAATCTGTGGGTAAAGTCTCTTTAACTCTTCCAACCCTTCCTAAATCACCTGTGGATGAGCGAAGTCCCACCCCCAGCAGGACATCGCCCTCCTTGACTAGAGTGGTACGCTGGGTGTTATGGAAACAAGCATGGGGAGTAACCTCAGAGCATCATGCAACCCCTGCAGCAATGAAACAGGAAGTAAGATGTTCAAACTGAACACCTGAAAAGAACAGATGGACCACTTCTCAGGTGTAGGTGTCTTTGTCAGAGGGTAGATTCAGGGTCATARTGAACCTTTTCTAGGTCCAGACCACACCACGCTGAAAATTATTACTCTGATCAGTTTCCAAATAAGTTTTTTTCTGTTCAGACATGACGTTAAATTTCCAGAAAATTTATAGAGCACCAACACCCAACAGTAAACTCTGCCTCTAATCCTCTCACCTGACCACTTTACACACACACACACACACATCAAAATCACAAATCTAGTTCCACTGCAAACAGTCAATAATCCAACTCTCATTAAAACTCTAGCAGCAGCATTTTGGATTAACTGAAGACTTCTTAAAGAG